TGACCTGCATAAAGGCTATATAAAAATAATAGGCTGCTCATAAAAAGAAAGTCTACAGAAAGCAGTTGTGGTGGTTTTATTTAGTGTGGCTTTTAAGTTTCAGGGAAACAGATCAATAGAGGTGATCAGGAGTGAATGCTAAAGCAAGTTGACCCCATAAAAGACCCCACTGCTTTTTATTCCTAAGCATTGGAAGGTCAGAGGAAGAGGAGAAAGTGAAACAAGATACAGATTAAGAAAACTGTTTCAGGTAGCTTTGTTTTTGTTCAAATTTTGCTCTAACTTTTTCCATCTACCTTTTTCCTCAGCTGTCATAAGTCATGGGGGTGGGCGGAGGAAGTGGAGAAAAGACAAAAAGAAGAAAGAGGAAAAAAAAAAAGAGAGAAGAGCCTTTGTGAGCACTGGTCAAAACCAAAAGCCTCTCTCGGTCTATTTTAGCATCTTGAGTGTCTGTATCATCAAACAAGTAGAGCACTGGTTGCAGCTATGTGCAATGTCTTTAGGGATATGTAAATGAAAGGAACACCTTGTAAAGAACAGGGTGTTGTAATGTAAAACACTAAGTTAGGAAACTGAAGGATACTAATGAAAAGCACTGGAAGTCTAATCTTCTCTTACTCTTCTGATTTTCCTTTTATAAAACTAAGATCTAGTCTAAAGATAACAGAAACTAAAGAAACAGCAATGCATGTGGAAGGTTCTGCTTTGATTTTTATGAACAGATACATTTGGCATACTTATTCTTATGCACAGATGCTCAGATCATAAAGGAAAAATTTAAAAAAGGTCAAAACAAAACTATTATTGTTGTTTCCCCAATTTCTGGTAGAACCTTCTTTTTTGATGACAACTCTCACCTTTCCATGACTGAACCAGGTCTGTCAGCTCCAGGACATTTCTGCAAGGACTCCACAAAGGCTTAATTCACAACCCCAGGTCTATAGCATTATCATTTGGACATTTTGGAGCCAGTGGCACTAACAGTGAGTGAGAAGCTGCAAGCCTGCTTGTAGCTGAAGAGTAAAGACGTGGGATTTGGATATCCACCCACTAAGACACACAGCAGAGCAGCAAGCTGAAAGCTTTCATGTTATTTCCAATTCAAATACAGTAATTTTCTGCTTTGAGTACTTCATGATTTCACCAAAATGAGAAGAAAACAGCAAGAAAATATCAGCCTTCCTCACACTTTTCTCTGGATGTCCTTACTGATCTAGGTCCAGCAGCCGTTCAGACAGATGAGTCTTTTCCTGGCCCGTCTCTCTTTCCAGCATCATGCAGAAACTTAACATGGTGCTTAGTCACTGTGGTCACCTTCTGGAAATCTCAGCATTTCCTATGAAGATTAAACTACATGATTTCAGGAATAAGTGGTTTAATCCTCTGTGAAATAAATAACTCTAGTCTAGGGTAGGGGGGAAAGGATATTCTTTAGCATTTGTTTTCAAAACTAAACTCCCAAATTGTTAGCAATTTTAATCCTGTTAACTACTAAACAAAACAAAAAAAAAAAACAAAAAAAATGAGTTTGGACTCTGGCTATCCAAGGACAAAAATACTTCCATCTGTCCTTCTAGACTTCATTTATTAATATATTTTTAAGTAGATAGAACATCTCTTTGTGGAAAGCTCTTTGGCACAGCAAAACCACACGGTAGGTAATATCCCTTGGACCAAAGACAAGCTTGACTGTCTCATGGGACATTCCTCACACGTGTTTTGTAAAGTGATGATGACCCATTTGTCACGTGACTGTTTGTCTTGTCTCTTCACAGTCTCCCAGGGCTTCATTTTAGAACACCTGAAGCCTCTCCATTCCTCACTTTCCTTGTCGTTTTTCCTTCTGCTGCTATCCTTCTTGCCATGGTGGATTTTAAAATAGTTAGATTTTAATGAAAGAGAGGGAGGGGTACATCTCTTCCCTCTCCTGACTTAGCTTCTCATGATCCTTACCTGAGATGGTCAGACTCTTCCCATTACTGTGAGTATTTCTAAAAGAGAATTTTAATTTTTTCAGAAGGAACCAAAACCTGAGTGAAGCAGCAGCTGAATAGCACATAGAAAGCCAAAAGCAGTTGCACTACAACTGTGTTCCTGTTATCAGAACAAACATTTACAGCAACTGAGCCGAGTCTCATGATGAGCTCATTCAGAACACGAGGTTTTAGGGGGAACAAAGACGAACAGGAAACGGACATGAAAGTAAGATTACACTACCTAAGATTACAGAATCCTTATCCTATACTGAAGGTTTAATAACTAAAATAATATTTAGGAGTGCAAATAATCAGCTTCCACCTCTATCAATAAGTCACTTTTTACATATTTCCTAATTAAGGCTAACCAACATGTGAGTGACAACTTCCTGTGCCCCTGCACACCTTTTAGATCACCCTTGCAAGAAATGATTTCAAAACATTGGTCCCATAGCTAACTATAAAGTGACAGATGTCAGCTATATAAATTAAATCAGGAAGACAGGAAAGAGGGATTTATATGTAAAGAAGAGAGAAAAATTTACATGCAACAGACTAAAATAAGACAGATACACGATTGGATTTCTGCAGGTATCTGCAATGAAAGCATCTGTTGGCTCCTATTGTTGCTTTTCTCCTCTTTTCATCCTTTATTTCCTTTCTTTTGCTTCCCAGCCTTCTTTGTTGAATATAGATGTTTTATTATTATTATCATCTCTGATATAAAATAATAAAAAGAAAGAAAAATGGTGAAGTCGTTTCCTTTAATGCCATCAGGTCTCCAATTTCATGACTAAGGTCCAGCTCCAAGCTTTACCTATTTTTTATTGTTATATTTTATAATAATCACTACATACACGGGCTTGCTCATTAGACAGGCCTGTATTACTGTATCTCTCTTTAGAATCAATAGCTAGCTCCACCTAGTGTCTTCTTAATTCATCAGCGAAACAAAAAGCTAAAACTAACTACTATTGACAAAAGAGAAGCAAACTATAAAATCACTTTTCAGCTGTATGGTGGCCACAGATGGCATGCAATTATGATACTGTCATCACAAGCAAAATAATATTTAAAATAACTACCGTCTGATGATAGCCAGCCAGCAGTCTTGTGACAAAGAACAACCAACAGCTTCAGAAGTATACCTCATGCAATATAAAATGGTTTTACTGCTACCCTGAAAAGGTAAATGACACTTAAGCTGCTTATATGGGTTATTCTCTCTATGGTTTTATAATCAACAAGAAGGACAAATTACCTTTGAACCTAACAGAACTTCTCTGAAATAGCATAACAATAGTTTTTATCATCAAAATCATAGAACTACTGGTGACTATACAAACCTGATAGTGATTTTGTCCATTAATAAGCACTTCTTCCCTCCTAGCAGTTATAAAATAATTTAAAATGCCTCCCAGAGGTGATCAAAGCACAAAAATGCTCAAATTGCCTAAGAGTATAGTTTTACTGATCTTTATTTTCAAACTTTTTAAAGGCTGGTTCACTGCTGTGTATCTAGAAACACCTATCTTTTTAAAAACCGTTATAGATCTAGTCAGCAACACTTAGCCTTTAATAGCCCGATTCTCTTCTGGCAAGACTACCTAGCTTACAGCCAGCAAAGTAATTTAAAACAAAGTTAGAAAGTGAACATCCAGTGTGATAGGAGATTTTTTGAATATCATTTTGGAAAAAAAAAAAAAAAAAACATTGTATTACAAAATAATCCAATCCAATGATTGTTTCCTGGGGGCTATCAAGCAGTGTTTGAATGGTTGTTGTACCTCCAAAGGTGAAGCAAAATAAGCCTCTGCCTTACTCTCACAAAACAGCACTTTTCCTTTTCAGACCCAGAACAATCCACTTTGACACAGCTGACATCTGTTTTAAACCTGTTCAAATCACCTGTTCAGAACTGCTTAGCAGTTTCACCCTAGTGGTGATAAAATATATTTCAATATGTACAGTATACACTTGAGGATTGCTCACCACGACAGAGAGGGAGTATATATGTTGGGGGGCTGGTGGGGGGAGACAGACAGAATGAAGGAACATATATATAAATGATACCTAGACCAAAGTAAGCACCTCTAAATGATCTCAAACTTTCTTAAAACAGGCAGTCTAAAGTTATACTTATGACTCATCTGGTTTAAAGTATTCACGGCTAAAATGTAGTGGTTATATGAAAACATTACCGCAACATGGAATATGAATTTAATAAAATACATGCAAAACTGCTCTCTGATGTTTCAAAAATAAGACAATATGCCAATTCTCAATAATTTAGCAGTTGCCGTCATTTCTCATTAACAGCTTTCAAAATCCTATCTGAAACAAGCTGATACAGAGAAATTAAGAGCAGTAATCAAGCGAGAAATGATAGACCAGCTGGGTAGACATCAAGTTGGCAAAACGTGAATACAGTTCAATAGCTGAAACAGATGCCAGAGTTGTTGAAAAACCCTGCAGGAGATATTGATGTATTTTCTTTATATAATACTGAACAACCGAATAAATGTCAAGAGCTAAAAACTGATGGGGAATAAAACCTGTCAGAGTAACTATAAAGCAGAAACCTGCAGTAGTATCTTTTCATTACATCAACACATTTAATACATGCATCTTCATTTCCGTGGGATTCCTCAATATGCCAATACATCAATCAGAGCTGGCTGGTAAATCATATGGAGCCTTTGCCAGTGTTGTTTCACATCTGTTTGTTTCTATCTACCTGAGGCTTCACAGACTTAGAAAAGACTTTAGTCTTCAACCTCATCCTAACATAACGCTCTCTTTCAGGCAAGGGATTCCCTGAGCTTAGAGGCGAGCATAAGAAAAAAGTAACACAAGCAGAAATGAAATTACAAAATCCATTTTGCAAAAGGAACATTGTTTCCAGAGTTTCAAGACCTCAGCAACAAATCCTCTGCCGTCAGCCGCAGCTCATTCTAACATATGCTTTGTCATGGTCACTTTCTAATTACATTCATAATGATGCAATAGCTTTGATAAGCCTACCTTCCATGCCAGCTGCTTTTCTTGTCACTCCATCATGCCAATAAGTTGGCTGCCGTAACAAATCAAGATAGTGCAAAACAGCATCTTCTCCCTGCATCTGTCATCTTCCTGAAAGCATTCTATTACTGCCGACTGCTGGGAACCAGAAAGTCTATTTGAATTCCAGCAGCTCCCCTTTCGCATGATTCAAGTTCGGTTAGGTGGGCATGCCTAACATGATTCTCTCCATCATTTATTATGCAGCTGCTACTCCGTCGGTGTGGTAACCACTCTGACTTTATCTGATACGTCAGTCTTGCAAACCTATACCTCCGTGTGCACGCGCGAGCCCCAGAAGCATCTTGCATTTAATGAGCACTCTCGCTGCCTGAAGAGAGTGCATCTGCAAATCGGTTTCGCATCCTGCTGCTCACACCGTCCTCTAAGGCTGATGCAAGTGTTTAAAGATTTTTTTTTAATATTTTTGCATTTCGTCTTTGCAGAAAGCACTGCGCCTCATGCACACTTGGTTTATTCACACTTCAGTTAAATGCTTGCTGATTTGTGTCCAACTAAACAGCACCTTCCCATTGAAACTCTCTGCTCTAAAGCTACTTCTGAATAACAGTACTGTGCATTCAGGCTCTCAACTGTTTCATTTTAAACGTGGCTTTCAGAGCTACACCTCGACAAATTATATTTAGCTCTCTTTCATTGCAGTGAATGGCTGTCTAATGAAGAAACAGGAGATTTTTAAGCAATATATCTAGATCTACCTGTAGGTGACTTTCCCTTTTTTGTGTTTTATACATTCTAGCAGTAAGTGGATAGCTCTGTTACAGCATCTTGATATTCTTAAAGTGGCAAGAACACTGCCAGAAGCTGTTTTTCGCCAGGCTGTGGAGGACACTCCATAATGACAGAGTTCACTTAACTGCTTCTGAGTACTGGGAATTAAAGGGGTAGGACTGTTCTGTTGTCTTTCTATTTATATTTCCTGTCGGGGTGGGGGGGAGGGGGGAAGCAGGCTTGCGTCAGAGATTTCAAATGAGTGTTAATACAAATTGACAAAGAGACATCAATCATCCACCAAGTTAAATTAGCTGGGTCTCCTCCCACCGCTTCTGCCTGAAATTCAGAGTCACGGCAGTTCATCTTTAATGCATCTGCTTGCACAGAGATTGAATAAACATCCCCAACACTACACTGAAAAGTTTGAATGCTTAAGCCAGGAAAAAAAAAAGGCTTTTTAAAACTGCAACTGATTGGCCACAATACGTTACTTAAGCGAAGTAGGGAGGGAGGAGGAGGACTAACACCAGAGTCTCACCTCCCCAGCCTTTACACAATGACAAAAGAAGGAGTGACGAAGGGGAAAGGGCACAGTCCCTCACAAGGAGCTTTACCTCGCTGTGTCATCCAGCTCTGGACCAGTTCTCGCATTCCTAGTGCAAAAGATTCATTTTTTCTTAAAAACAAAACAAAACAAAAAATCCTCTCTCCAATAGATGTGTTTAGCTTCTCCATGCTTTCCCCTCCAACCCTACCGCTTTGCTCCCTTCCTCCCCACAATTTCCTATTCTCAGTTAAGTACCCAAAGGCTATGAAAAAAAAGCTAGAAAACATGAGCTTAGGAGAGCTATATATCAGAGAAAGTCTGGGGGGGGGGGCCCCACAGCCCCAGGTCAGAGGAAGGGGAGGGGGGGGGGGGGAGGGACCCAAAACCCCAAGGCAAGAGAATCTCTCACTACTTTTAAAAACAATTCAGGAAGTCTCATAGCTACCTCTCAGCCTCCCTCAACAGCGCTCTCCCCAAGGGCGGCGCAGGGCACATCCCTCTGCGCTGCTTGCAGAGCTGATCCCCGAGGTTAGCAGCAAAGCCTGGACATGCCGCTGGCCACAGGCACGGGGCAGCAGCAGGGTGCAAACCCCGACCCCACAGGCAGCGCTGGGAATGAGCTGGCACCGGTGGGTGCCGAGCGCGGGAGACCTCCCAGCTCTGCTGTTAGGGTTCGACTGCCTGCTCTAGCCTGTATCTAAATGGCACAGCTGGCACCTGAATAAGCTCACATAACGTGGTGCAGTTTGTATTTGATACCGTATTTATTCCTAGCATGCTGCCAGAAAATGTCTTTTTAGAGATTTCATGTAAATAAAGTAGAATTACTGCATCTGTTCCTCTGTCTGTAGCAGCACATATCAACAAGCTAATCCTGCATGCAAGGCAGCAGAGACAGTCCTATCGTATAGTTGCAAAGTGCACAACTATAAAGTGCCTATCTGAAAATATTGTCACTTCCTTTTTGTTCACAGTTCAAGTCATTTCTGAAGTGAAACAAACCAGGCAATAAATGAGGACTGTCTTTGAAGTCCCCATAAATTCAAAGTATATAAAAGGATATGCTTAATATTTCACACTGCATTATGATTTTTAAACCACAGAGTCAGTAGCAAGGAATTTAAATGTTATTTCACAAAAGAAAAGTTTGAGTTTGTAGCTCATATAGCCTGTAATTGTGCGGTAGGTTTTTCACAATGATAAGACAAGTAAAAACTCACTGCAGACTTGATTTCTATTTCAACGAATTTTGAGCTATGCAAGGTTAGAGATGGACATGTTCGGAAAAATACTTTGTAGGTACATAAGCCAGATAACGCTGGTAAGAGAATGGGGGTATCTGGTATAGCAGCATCATAAATATAGATTTTTAGCAGAATCTTTTCCCACTACAGAAACCAGCCCCTTAGAAGGAAGTACAAAAAGGAGGGCATGGCTAATAGGGGACAAAAAAGAAATTATGAAAAACATTTCCAGAGAGATAAGCATGGTATTACAAGGAGGATCCATCAGGGTATATTGTTTAATACTACTGCCCTCCAGCACAGCGTACAATCAACATCCTGTAGTTTAGCTGCACAGACCATTCCTCTTCAGATCAGAGCTGGGTTTGCCCCTGGAAAAAAAAGAGGAAAAAAAATTTTGTTTGGAGAAGGGAACTGTAATATACCAGTATGGGCATCTTCTCTTTACATGATCTGTATAGAAAAAGAGTTCAGAGACAAATGGAGAATTTGGGAGGAGAAACCAGTATCAGTCATTCCGTCCACATACTAATAGGCCGGATTAATAGCTGGCTTTGGTCTAGCTTTTCTGCATTTGTCTGAGAAAACAACAGTTTTGGTTCCTGCTTATTATATCTATGCAGATGCTGAATCTAGTTACAATTATAGTCACCCACCCTTATGGAATCAATTGCTTTAGAGAGAAAGCTCGACTGCAGCTTTCCATCGACATGGACTCCTCAGTACACAAATACGTATTTTTTTCTCTAATACAGCACTGTCCCCAGTTTTAAAGCAGAAATAAATGACAAGTGGAATGACAGTGACCAACTAGAATTCTACTTTTTACAGTATTGAACTCAGCAGGCTGAGAAATTCCAGTCTATTTGGCTGACAAAGGGGTGAAAAAGGAAGAAAGCCCCTCTCTTTTCCTAGTCCATCTACAACTTATGGTGCAGATATGTCTATACATTTTAATTGCTTCACTGCTACTAGAGCGACTAATTGGTTTATTCAGTGTGTGTGAGTTTGATTATGGTTGTGTGTGCACATTACAGTGATAACTATGATACCCTGTAGAATCTCTTCTTGTTGCCATTTCTCTCTTTAGTTTTCCTCTTTGGAGGTACTAATGACTCCAACTAAGCACAAGGAGGTAATGGTTCACTGAAAAATGAAGCAAGCAGACTGGCCTTGACCTTCAATTCAGCCTCACATGCTCTACATGATGCACTCTCTGATATGAAATGAATGCTGATTTTATCTGGCAAAAAAATGTTCATTTGTTGTGCTAATATGTCTCCTGGTAGCAAATCTATTTCTCTTTGCTTTTTCGCTGTTTACCGGTATTCTTACCTACTTCACCCCTCCCGTAATAAATAACTAATTTGTTCAATAAGCCACCCAAGAAAACACCTTAATGATGTATAAGATATGTTTATATTAATAAACACTTCCAGAGGGAGCATCGGAAGGTTTGTTTGTACTACACAGGCAGGAATTATTAATTATTTCCTCTTATTAATAATTCTTATTAATTATAATTCTTATAATTTTGCCTTCTATATTCATTATTTATTAATTATAGAATTCCTCACATATAATGATAAAAGTCAGCTGTTCATAAAGGATCACTTTTCCATTAGGTTTGAGCCCATAGCACTTTTATTTCTATCTCAATAGTTTAGTGAGGATGCCTTCTGACAATTATAGTACATGTGGCTTTGCTCAAGATTTTTAAAACTGCCGTAGAGAAGTGTATAAAAAATTGTGAAAATGAATGATGCACATAAAGTTGTGCCTCCAGAAACTAAAACCCCTGTGCAACCATCATCTCATCAGAGAGTCTTGCAAACCCTGGGACTCTAATGGGACTGTTGACAGGCCTGATCTCTATGTTCAGCTGGATCTCTATGTTGACCAGAGAGAGACTTTCCGGATGTGCATGCATGAGGTCAGCTAGCAGGCACCTGACAGCAATCTGAGGACCTGAAACTTACACTATTTTCAAACTTTTCACTTATCTACACCATATTCCATTCGAATATTTGGTAGAAGTCATATTCTTTGTTTTAATTAAATGCCTAATATATGAAAATTCACCTAAGTTCCAGTTTTGCTATAAACTGAAAGCTCAGAACACTTGTCTAAGAACGTGTTCTTAAACAACCTTCCAAGCGAGACTGAGATTGATCCAAGTTACGCTTAACATCATAAGAAGTTTTGCAAAGTTTTGTTACAGCCACACTGCAACAGTACTAAGCTGTGATACCCTCAGCAACCCCAGGATTTTATATTACAAGACTTGGATAAAACGTTATCTAAAAAAGGCATTACAGGAACAGCTCTCTTTGAGGGCATCTCTAATAGCAGAGCATAGCATACTGAAAAGTGGGTACTCTCCATCATGTTTGAATATTACTGCGTGAGATAATCACCTGAACACTGCTAGAGACCTGTGGATAATAACACATTCTCTCAAATGCAGCAAATTTTGAGGTTGTTTTAATGGCAACCTCTGCCAACACACATTCTACATTTGTTCTCACATAGCATATGTATTTCAGTGACAGTGAATTTAAAACGCTAGCTTCTACCAAGAGAGAAAATCTCGCTCTGTTAACTCATTCTTCAAATATTT